TTGATGAAGAGAAGCGAAACATACATTTTGTCGAGGTGCACCACTAGGGATTGGTATCAGGCATAATGTATACAGCACGGTTCTGGTATTTAGATAGTAAGTCGACACGATGGCAAATGAATCCCTCAATCGCTACAAGGATGTGATCCACGTCCTCATGGAGCCGGGCCTCTTGAAGCATAATTGCGCACAGCTTTTTGTATTCATGACAACAGGTTTTTCTCATAACTGATCGTATATTTGATCTGAGGATATTGGATGTGCCCATGCTCCACATTGTTTTCTACGGTAGCTCCACCCTTCAACTACCAAGTTGCTTTCTAGTAGAAGTGATCAGCACCCTGTAGATTATCTTCAGTTTACTTCCTTTGGCTCGAGCTTGAAGAATATTGAGTCTTTATTGGTGTAGAAACACATGCGAACTTTAAAATATCGCATGTGTAGGTGAGCACATCCTTGATAATTGTGTGATTTGGCGTAGAAAAACGAACAAAAACAGTCGCTGAAAGCGTGGTTGTAAATACTTTCGTGGGTGAAACAGAAAAGTACAGCCAAGTTTGAAGGCACTGACGAAGTTTATGAAGTTATTGCTCTCATGCAAACATGCTAAGTACTAATTCTGTATTTTTGGATGCTTCGGACAGATCCAAACCCAGTGAACGGTCACCCAGTCACTAAGCAACCATGGAATCCTTGCCGTCATTATGACGAATTCTTAGAACATTTGCTTTCAGCCATTTTCTCGGGATGCCAAACTATAGGATGGCAACAGACTGACTAAACGGCAGTCTTGGCACCACCTAGAAGTACGTTTCGCAGGCTTAAACCGCGGTATATTCTCAGAGAATTGTCGGCGGATGGTATTCCAATAATCAATACTGATAAAAGCTTTTCTATCACATGCTTTCGTGCCAAATAGTGTTGGACAGAAGTTATATTTCTGTGGTCACGTGTTACGTAGGTGGCAAGATCCATCGTATAGACTCAGGCACACCGAAGCCCACGTAGTTTTTGAGAGCTTAAGGATGCTGTGCAGCGGTTGGAATGTGTGTAGTGACCGAGAAATTATGTCCGTCTTGTGATAATATCCGATGACCTGAATACTATTACTACACGTTTTCTTTTGTTGTGTAACTCAGTGTGTGGTTGAAGGCCGCAAGTATAGGTGAGAACATCAATGAACAGTTATTTTGCGTTACTACAGATGGATGTTTCAGATGGAAATGAATCCATTTTGGTCACATGATTATTCATGGAATTCTTCTTGATCAGGGCTGCAGATGATCTAGGTGCTAAGCGAAAATAAGTGAAACACTCATTTGCCTAACTTCAAGAGTTTGGTGAAGGGCAACGGAACCCGAACGTCATAAAATCAAAACTTTTCACGGTATTTTCATCGAATTACTGTCTGCAAGTGCCATGTCTCTTAATCCATGACCAACCAAGTGTTTTGGTGAAATGCAGTTATATTACTGGCCTGGACAGAGTCGATGCGAAGGCAGAATTTCAGTAATGTTAATATATTTTCCCTTAGAATAACTAAGGCTCAGCAAAAGTGATCTCTACTTGCTTGGAAGCCGTTGATGCCTCATACTGTTATTCTATCGACTACAACATACTCGGAATCTTTATTTTGTCTACTTACCAGTAGGCCAGTTGGTCAGACATATCGCGCTATTGAACACTTCATAGTTCAGATTTATTATTGAATGTTTTCTAACATTACCGACAGAGTTAAGTGTTCCATATCTCTTAACCGCATACGGAATCGGTATCAATGCCATACTCCAGATTATATAATGCAGATGAACGAACATGTTGGAGTTTGTCTGAGGAAACGCTTGGATTATTCGCGGTACCATTACTGGACGGGAATATTCAGCCACAATGTAATAATGAGAGTTTAGTATACTTATATCCTGTGGTTACATTCTCTAATTGCGATTTCCGGCAATAAAGTTTACTCACTGCTTCTAATTGACATCGTGCAGTCACTTATTCGCTGGCCGAATTAAGCATTAGGATGGACACCAGAAGGCTTAGGACAGAACATTTGAAGAATGACAGCTATGATAATGAAACTATTGGGAGTTGTAAGAAAACTGTGGAGCGGAACTTGTGATATTCATGACATAGCTCTCCTAAAGAACATTAAAGCTGTTGATTACAAGAATTGGATTGCTTGTGAAACTTCAACACTATATCGATACTCTGACTAGTGTGTGAGCAAAGCGAGTAAGTACTGCAATTGATGTCTTAACGAATCCAAAGAATGCCCACGACCTTACATCCCCAAGTTATAGATTGACACGTGTCAATAGATACTCTCGACAAATCAATATCTTGTGGGACGTGAAGTAATAGGAACATTGTTTCCTGCATCTATAAACACCACGTAGGTAATTGATATAATCGGGTCACTTGCACGTAATTGTCAGTAGTGTGGTAGTACAAAGGCGAAAAGCTGGGAAGTTGGGAAAGCATGAAGATTGCTCTTGTTAGGGGCCATTCGGTGTTGTATCGAATACATCCTCTAGTTCAATTACGCGCACTTTTTGTTATCTGTCCTCTAACCCAATCTGATCAGTGGCACTTTGTTTAGAGGACCTGTACCACTGTAAAAAATTGATTCAGAATAGTAGTAAAATCTCACCCAATTGGAACCAGTGTTTACGAATAGACTATTAGAAAAACTGCATCCATTTAGCATTTGCTTTGACTTGTTTTAAACAGAATACTTGTCAGCAGGTACTTTATGAAATATTTCGCGCAGCAGAAATAAGATACTGTATAATTTAGAAGGCTTAAATTTATCTCAGTATTAAAAACCACTATTAGAGGACGGAAGATGGTATGTGCACAAATAAGGATGTGTATGACCAAACAAGCTGGAACTGCAAAATGCATAGTGGTAGTTGGGCGTTGAATTCGATGGAGTCCTAACGCATGGAAATGATTGTTCTCGGACATACACAGCTGAATGTAAAGAGCTTATTGTGACGGAGCAAGTAAAGCGAGGGAACTGGTGATCAGTCTGACGTAATAGTACTGCAGTTACAGGAGGGAGTAGCCTTTGAAAACTGAACGTCCACCTAACTGCTTAACTGGCTTCCCACACAACTGCGGTGTTTGAAGTGGAAGGGATGATAGCCGTTTCACGCAGTTTTCTTTGGTTCATGTTTCTTCTGCAACTCAGCAGTATTACACGAATTGGTATATGAACACTGATTCGACTCTTATTAGCTTTTTCATTCCTTGAAGACCAGTGTTTTGGGACTAGGCAGTATGGTAACTTTGCTAATTAACAATATTGGGACTGATATTCTTCGATCCGATGGAAACAAATTTAGTAGGAAACCTGATACAAAATGCTGTGTCTCTTGTCAACACAAGTCCATCTGAACTGCATTTGACTAGTATTTCACAATACCATAATGGCTACCGATTGCCAGGAGTAGGGTTTTACTTTACTACCTAGTCGGCCTAAGAGCCAATCAAATGCTGTCTTCTGCTGTGACTAAGTTTTTGTACGTATTTACCTTTAACCTCATGAGCCATGTGCACTATTCCGCCTCCGTTTCAGTCGCTACACGGACCAGTGCTCACTATAGAACCACTCGGACATTAATTTCCTGTTGACCATTCCTTTTCCTATAAAAGCCATAAAGTGCCTGAGTTGGCTTCCAAGCTGTTCACGGAACCTGAAAGCTTAGCGGTGTCCTGACGTTTACAGGTCTTGAATGTGCCACAGGTGTACGCTTATACCTTTAGCATATTGACCAACCTCCAAGTTGCTACAAATAACTATCTTAGGCAAAATAGGCGCATTAAAAAGCAACGGGTTAAGCTCTAATCATTTGTTGGCTATTTTCTGATGTCATGAAATTCTCGTGCTACCGTTTGGCCACCGCTCTGTTGTTTCAAGGTTGTTCTTATCTACGTTATTTTGTCCTGCCTGATCATCTCATTCTCTCTGTACCAACTGATTAGTAACCTAAGTTCCGTTGCAGTAAAATTATATTATTATTAACATAATCAGTAGAATAAACATGGGATAACAATGTTCGCATTCATTCATATTGGCATAGGATACCAATTGTGCTTGTCGGATAAAGTTGATGTGCTTCTCAGCTGTCCACTTTTTAAATCAACATTCACGGCATGAAGCTCATTATTGAGACTTGACCTAATAGCATGAAGTTACTCGCCTAGGCTATAGATGCGCATGCAACTAATAAACACTCATAACTGTCAAAAGCATATTTCGTACCAGGGGCCTGTTAAATATTATCTTCGAAGAATTGTTAAGTTTACATACTTTGACTCTTTCATTGCATTACAATAGTTCTTCGGGTGACGATAAATAAAAGCATAACTTCTGTCGATGTATTTTTCAGGGTGATTTAATGATGTGTATTGGTCATACTTGGAGGCCCTGACAGTTTCCTAAAGTAACTAAGTTAAGTAGAGGATAATTCGACCGCCGCCTTGGTCACGTTTGCTGTCGTAAGGGAAGCTTACGAACAATAATTGGACTTAGTGTGTATATCTTCGTTTCGATATCCTTTATGCGGGCCGCAAATATGATTGCAAAGGGTCACTAGTTCGATATACCTGTGCTAAAGGGTGAATTGTTTGCAGCTAGACTAAGCTATGCTAAATTTGATGTGCACCTCTACCAACACGTTTGCATTAGGGTGCGACTACTAGGTAAGCTATGTATCCGTTTTGGGTTTAGTTCTGCTCTATGGTGTGCCATAAGCCTAGACACTATGAAACACAGATTGCGTGTAAATATTACTACGATACTTTACCTCTTCATTGCATCATTCTGGGTAGACACCATTCACAGCATTCGAAGGTGGAATTACACAACCACTCCAATATCAGCACAGTGTGCATCAATACACCTAATGAATAGTAACAGTTATACTCATCGTTTAGTGCATATGCAATTTGCCAACTTATTACTTCTCTATTCTCTCTGTTTGCCCGTACAGATCCCTTTCTTCTCTCATTGTTTGTCGGTTCCATGTGTGGAATTCCAATGTGCCTTTTCGGCATCATTTCCGCTGCAAAAAAGAGTAGACAGCTGTTAGTTGTGGTGAGTCAAACGATGTAACGTGCAATAGTTATTTTAAAGCAGTTAGTTCCCTTCAGAAATCTGAAAAGCACGGTAAGAAGACGAAAATTGGTAGATGCATGCATTTCGTATTGTCTCCTCAGTACCAATAACAATAACCGGTATGCAACTATATACTTAAATATGCGTGTGACCGAATAAGCATGAGGTGAAAAATGAATGGCGGAAGTTCCACCCCCTATGTCCACGGCAGTCTTAAACTGATAAATAATTGCTTTTAAACACACAGGGCGGCTTCATCCGGCTTATCGCAACGGCCTCGACGAAACGGAGGAAGCGGGGATTAGGGTGACGTAATACAAGTGCGAACGCTGATCCGAGCTCTATCCGGTGACGCGTAGTCAGTAGGTGTTTACCTATTGAGGAAGCTGGCGGTTTGCGCAAGCACGGAACTTCAGTGGGACAGGGATTCTGGTCAATTTCACGTTGAACCCAAATTGGCACGTGTTCCTTTATTCGGGAGGTCAAAGACCGATTGGTTCTGCCTATGCAACTGTCTCCGCAGTCGCATACGAATTTGTATATGCAGTGTGAGTTGGCCCCTATCGGTTGAGATTCCTTCGTTGGAGGCACCGGCAAGTTACAGGTTCTATTGATGACCACAACCTGAGCAGCACAGTAACTTCTCTGCGTAGCAGAGATTAAACGTTTCGTGGTTTTCAATACAGTAAAGTCACCCTTGAATGGCAACTCGATATAGATCTTTTTCTTGGCTGCCGTATGCACCAAGTCTTTCGGGCCTCGTTGTTGGCTGTGTCTCTCTATAAATCTACGTGGATAACCATTTGCAACGAGGGTTGTTGTAGTTAACTCTAGCTCGTCGGCTAGACAATCAGCGGAGCAAATTCGTCTAGCACGACTAACTAAAGTTTTCACAAGGGTCCGCTTGTACCGCACTGGTGGGAAGCTGGTGAGGTGCAGGTATTGGCCGGACCAGGTTGCTTTTCTGTAGATGGACCTTCTAATGAGTCCGTCATCTCTGCGACTGATGAGGATGTCTAAGAATGGCAGACAGTTCTTCTGTTCCACTTCGCAGGTGACCCGCAAGTTGGTATGTGCGCAGTTGAATTGCTGCACCAACTGGACAATCTGCTGCTCTGATGAACAAGAGGCCAATATGTCATCAACATAACGTTTATAGTATGACAACTGGGTTATTTCTGTGGATATGCCTCTTTCTATCATCAGCATGAAGAAATCAGCAAGTACAGGGCCTAGTGGGCTACCCATTGCCACACCATCGGTTTGACGATATGGGGTGTTCTGAAAGTGGAAGCCAACATTTGCTGTACACCGCAGTAAGGATTTCTTTAGAAATTCGACTGGAATTGGTAACGAATAACTCGAGAGCTCAGCTATCTCACATATGTAATCAACAGTTTGTTGTAGTGGGACGTTGGTGCATAGAGAAGCCATATCCAAGGAACACATGATCTTATCGGAGAGGTTGATGTCATCTAAGTCACCGATAAGTTGAAAAGTATCTTTAAGACTATATGGATTGGGCAGTTGTCGTACAGGCGAAAGTATCTTCACTAGCCAGCCAGCCAGTTTATGCTGCGGCGCATTTACTATTGATAGAATCGGCCCAAGTGGTACTCCACTCTTGTGCGTCTTCGGTGACCCGTATAGCTGCGGAGTAGTGCTTCCACTTGGCTTCAAACAATTATAGGTGTCACTATCAATCACGCGATGAAGGAGAAGCATTTCAAGATGGGTAGCTATGCTAGCTTTAACGTCGGATACGTTCTCCATCTTATTAAGTCGTTCAAATTGACTCGGGTCGTTGAGTATGCTACTCATTTTCTGAGCGTACTCGGCCTTGTTCATGACCACCACTCCAGAGCCCTTATCCGGTTTCATCACAACTACGTTCTTAGTGCGCAATTCACGCAGCGCCTGAAGGGTGGAACTTCTGTCATTCATTTTTCACATGCTTATTCGGTCACAAGCATATTTAAGTATATAGTTGCATACCAGTTATTGTTATTGGTACTGAGGAGACAATACGAAATGCATGCATCTACCAGTTTTCGTCTTCTTACCGTACTTTTCAAATAGTTATTTTTATTTGATTGCCTAGTGTTAGAATAAAGGCTGTCGTATGCAAAGTTTACCATCTTTTATAGTGCGTGTCAGCTAATCGGTCCGACTAAATAAGGACAGCAATCTTCTGGAACGTGTTTGGGTGGATGAAAAGAATAAAACTGACAATGTCGACGCACAGCTGACTGGCTGACACCATCGATCTAAGCGCAATTTGTTTTCAGCGTTAATTCGTTGAAGCCCGAAGTAGTGGCATTACTTAATGGGTCGAACTAAACGGTTGACTACACGCTTTAAGTCATCAGCTTTGGTGACAATGTTTTGCGCAAACATATACACCTTGCTGCTGGTAACTTCTGACATCCGGACACACAGTGAGTCCAAAACATATGCATTTATTTTAAACGTTGTTTACCTCTACTTCATCGCAATAAGTGACTTCTGACGACACTCTGCTTGGCAACGCAGAGCATTCCACCAAATAAATGTGACGCAACTTATTTATTGTGTCAGTTCATTTCGGGGATTTGTACTGCCCTAGCGCGTATCATTTGCAACCGGACAACTGATTAGGAATTTATATGCATTCCGCTGTGGGTGCACAAAGACAAACTAGCTGTCCGTATATACACTTGAACATTCCTTACGGACGGAATCCGGAATCTGGTTAAGAACGGTTTAGGCTAGTCAGATCCGATTTTTCATTACAAAATGACTGTATTTTCGATAGACGCAGCAATGTTCAAGGCTAAGTCAAGAATAAAATGCAGATTTGTTTAAAACCTATGGACAAACCTTTCAAATGGTATGGTTTCAATGATCGAATTGAAATGTGCATTGTATGTAGTATGCTTTTCTTTCTATTGCAACTGCTCAGGGTATATTCAAACCATAGTAATACTTCAAGAGAATGTTTTAAAGTAAGTTGCTGGGCTGGAGGACGAAGCGATAAGCCTCGAGACGTCCCAACTACTACTTGAGCCTACTGATTGGGTCAAGTAGTTGGGTTTTCTCTGGTAGACAAATGGATAGCACATTTACATCTGAGCCAATATATTCCATGAAATCGTACACGGTCTGCTGGACACCCCCTACAAGTACACCGAAGGCAGCAGTTCAAACGGTCTTAGTACTAGGAGAAAGTCACTAATCTCTTTATGTTGTAGCATGCAGCAACTTGCTGAGTATTGATCACATTTCCGGGAAAAACAACGCATAGTTGTCAGGACCAGTCAGTAAGCAACAATGAAAGCTTCACTTTTTCTGCACAGCACACTCGCCAGTACTCTACCTGGTAGCCTACGCTGATCCAGTCAAGTTCCTCACATACCGATGAGCCACCTACCTAGGTGTTGTTTAGTTATGGTGGTTATAACGCTTTGAGTGATGCTTCAGTGCGGCAAGACGACAAAATGCGTCCACTGATAGCAAATGACTGGATTTTTTCACTGTAAACGCGGCGTATCAAAAGAATTTGCATTTCCTCTCTAATATACAGTCTCTGACCCTTCAAAACTTTTTGGCTATTTCGTTCATCGTATTTAAGCTTGTCTTTATTTTCGAACTTACCTATCAAGACACCTTGGAATCAGGTATTTTAACTATATCTGGGCAGTTGTACGCATCCAAAACACAAGGCAGTTAGTTTCACTAGGTAGCTTAAAAAGCACGGGGAGCAGACAAAAACGATGGCTTAATGCATTTCACATTCTTTCCTCAATAGCATTAACTGTGATCGCATAGTCAGCTGCATAAGCCGAACCAAACGAACTCAAATTACTAAACTAATAGAACACACGATAACTTGAGCTGAGCGTAGAAATGTTCCATATTCTCGAGTTAAGCTGGAATCTCTACTCTGCAACAGACAAGCACTAGCCAGGCAAATGTCATTGGATAGAGCTCGATTCAACGTCCGAATTCGTGTCGCACCACGTCACTGCAACTTACTTCGTTCCACAGAGGATGTGGTGGTGTGTGGAAGCAACTAACTGGCAGCTTTATAGTACAGTGAGCCTAAGGATTGTAATTCCGTAATATAACTTGCATGTGGCTTGCTGGGTAAATGCCAGGCGTTCCTTTTGCAACATGTCAATAGCGTACATCTTTGGCTCACATCAACAAATACACTCATGACTTGTTGGTAACAGAGGCTCATGACACTAATCCCGGATGACAGCAGCAGACTGTTATGAGCGATAGACAACTGTGATATAGTGCAGATATTACACAGAGCAGATAATGAGCAGTTCACTTAGAGCCTGCTACCCTTGAACAGGAAAGATTGAATTGTGTATTGTACATGATTGAATATATCGTCTAGCTGTAGGTTAGATATGACCAATGTCGGTGCGGAGACAGCTGAATGGAAAGTATTCTCCTGGGCTGGTCTGTGTGCGTCGGTAGGAAATATGTGCGGCTTTCAATTCTGTTGTAATTCTGCGTCTGTTTCATGGTTTGCTCCCCCAGTTAGTCACCTGTGTTAAGCTGCAGCATGGAGCGAAGCACGTTATCGGTGTTATTTAGGATTGGTATGCCATCATAAAATCACGTTGCAATCGGTGTTTCCATACGCAGAATGCCAGTAAGGATTGCAATCTCTGTTCTTGTGAAAGTCAGCGGGTTTGTTTACTGAAACACTTGGTGATTCAATACCTGGGGAGCTCCAGATCAGTTCAGTGTTCTAGACGTAACTGTTAGGTGCGGAGTACTTGTTAGACCAGAGGTGTAATATGAACGTTGAGCGTTAAAGGGGAAATCCAAGAGTTAAAATATCCGAATGCCTGCTCATTAGTTTGCCCCGTTGGCTGTTGGTTAACATGTGTTTTTAGATTACTGGTTCATGGTCGACGGAAAAGCTTCCCAATAAATGTTCGCTTACTGACACACATTGAACAGCAATGGGATGAAAATAACTAACGTTTGGCTTTTCTGACGGGAACGACCATCCATCAATGCAGTGCGTCAACAAATGCCATCCATTTGGGTTTTAGTAAGTAGGTCAGCTTTGGGCAAATATTTCTTTTACCATGTGTTATTGTCGCTTTCAACTAGGATACTGCCAAATTTCTGAAATGCTTCAGAACCGTCGACGACGGCAACTTACATCGTGCAGTGTAAACAAGTGACGGCCACTTGAATATGATGTGTTTTCGAAGGCAACTTTTCGAAAACTGTAGACTCGGTTATCATTACTGAACAATTCTTGATTGCGCCATTGCCTTTTTCGCTTCACTGACTCAACAGTAAATACGTTAGCTGAACGGATTTGATTTTACTGATATTCCATTTTTGTTACTGTTAGAAGTTATGGATTTTGAACTAAGATGACCTGAGTTTGACTTGTGATCTAGGTTCCTTTCATGACGGCGTTCCAAACTGATCGGAAGCTTGCCCTTAGCCAACTACGGTTTGCTGATCCAACGCAAAACATCATTGATAAACTTCTCATTCAGAAAAATATGTCTCAGAAATAAGCTAATACCAAAGTACAGACCACTGTTGGGTACACTGTTTTCAAGTAGCTTAGATTAAAATGCACACAGGACCACAGAATATGACTCAATCATTTTGAAGATAACATTTACATATTAATAATATGAAAAGTGTTTAAAGGAGTTAGGAGTACCATTTTAAGTAAGTAACTTAAAGTGGATGCACACAAGAACTATGCAGTTGTAAGTTGTGGTTACGTCAAATGAAAGGTTGTGTCACTGAGCAGCGCAATTTTTAACTCTTATGACGGTAGCTCCCAAGAGCAGCCGTTACTTTAAATCTGATATTGCTCTCTACACATTTATAAAACGTATGAGATCGACGGCCGCTGCATTTTATGTGATTGCCACCGGGTTGAGCCTAGATAACTTGAATCTTCACAAAAATGTTTGTTCTTTAGCGTTGTTAACAGTTGAGGATGTACGGTTATGGGTAAAGGACAATAAGTCAAGCGCATTTTTCTCGATAAATGAAAAATTATTCAGGTGATCCTACCGAAATTTTGATACTTCCTTTGTTGATGACATTTCAATATGTTCCATTTTTCTTATAGTACCTTGCAATCCACACAGTTCTGCTGCTCGCGCAATTGGCTACCATACTTGTCTTCTTCGTAAGACCTAACTTTGTAAGTTACCGGGCCAATTTGTATTGTACGTTTATTAGTTCTTACCATCAAACGTGCCCTTCGGACAATTTGCGTTCAGATTTTAACATTTACACGAGTCAAAGTTAGTGTGCTAACTATGCAAGTGCGTAGATCGCGGGCAGTACCACCTGGAAACTGACATTTACTGACAGTTGCAACAAAACTGTAGGTTCTTTGCAGTACCAGAAGTCAGATGTGATCAAACGTTCAAGGCAAATCAGTTTTCTGTCCGTACAGTCGAAGTGTGGTAATCCGGGAAATTTCTAGTATTCCCTGGTGGATTTAGGTCATTGCAATATTTTAAGTCTGCAATTAGTCTTTCTGATTGTATGGGGCGAACTGTTAGTGAGACATGAGCAGATAAAACTTAAATACACGGAGGAATTAGCTGCCTTTCTGCTTCCTGTCACTAATCATATCCAGTGGCTTTCATTCCCTCCGGTAGGCACCATCATCTAGTGGTTTCTGTATTCCGTTTCACAGGATCTGTTTACACGCACTGGTTCGGGAATGCAAATTAGGTCATTAGGCACTCGTTCTACTATTTAATGCTAAGAGAATTTAGGCCTAAAAGCAATATTGTCCAGCCAAATGTTTGGCTGCATTAAGAGAAAAGAATTATTGTTAGCTGTGTCTAGTTTTAGAATACAGCTGCATCTGGTTAAATTGCAATGGTTCTGAAGTTTGTTGAATTGTGGATCAATAAAATGGGACAAATCCGTAGGCTGATAGGAGCATTAAATCACAAGTAAATCGATGAATCAAAAGTCAGAACTGACTGGCATGAGTAGAAGTTAGATTAAGATAGTTCGCAGTTTCTATCGTATTTGAAGCATAGGCTTGGTGGACTGATATCATAGGCTTAAGCATAGACTTATTTACCCTTTTCAAAGTAAGCATCACTACTTGAAATCATCAAACAAGTTATGAACTAAAAAGTTGCTTAAATGTAATGGTTTAAAAATTTGGCAAAAATGGTGGTGAATTGCGTTTGGTTTGGAACCTGCGAGTGTCAGGAAATGGTTTATTTCTGGCTGTTAGTAGATGCGTTAAGCAACCCACTCTATCAAATGGCTTGGCCAAATACACTACTAAAGAAAATGTAATTGTAACAATTGACCGTTTATTGCATTTCTGTTTTAGCACACAGGAATTATAATATTCATGTTCTCGACTTGCTCGCATACTCCAATTTATAATGGAATACCACGTGAAGTTACTCCGCCTCTTTAAATTAGTCACGCACAGACGGATGTGTGATAGGTTTAGTTTTTAGTATAACCCTACTCTTTCACCTACCTGGTGAATTTCACTTGTCGGGAGCTTGAGAAGTGGAAGGCTGCCTCAAGGTCTCCGGAAAAGTTTCTATGAATGATAGATATGCTACCACACGGAAGGTAACGGATAATCAGCGAATATATAAAATACTGACGTGGTCTTCTGATGTATTGTTGATATCATGACCTCCTTCGCTACAAGGTATCTCTATGGATGTCACCAGTAGGCCGACTATTTTGTAACTCCGACTTCTGTTTCATGCCGAGCTAACAATGAAAAGTTAATCATGCCTTTGCTGAAGTGTGTGTTTGCAAACTAAACCTATATATGGTCGTTTCTTTCATTCTCAGTTCAACGAAACGTTCAGGCAGCTTTTAAAAAAATCCATGGATTATTACGTCGACGAAGATTCAGACAACGCATACACCGTACTGGGGGATTACATAATGATGACGGTAAGTTATGGCAAGTACTCGACTGAGTGTTGTTTTTTTAATTAGTTAACAAACCAGGAAGCAAAGTGGTTAGTTATAATGACATAATAATTATAAAGTACGATAAATCTGTTGGAACTGCTTGCAATATATTCTTATCAGCTGTGGAAAGAGTGTATTATTTGAATGCTTATAAACCCCACTAGATGGCTTGGTCTTCACGCCACTATTAATGATGAGAATCTCTACTCGGCTTGCCCACGAAATCAAATACTGTAGTATCATTTCGTGCCTTACGCAGAATGTTCTAGCGTATAATGTTTGATGGTGTTTGCATTGATTCGTACTCTCTACCGCAATGGTGGCAACATGCTACCAAATATGTTTTATATTGCTAGCCTTTATTTCTTGTCCAGAGTAGGTTATCTGACTGCGGCTGAACGAATGTTTGAGATCTGTTGACGACACCTTTTTAAGCACTAGGTCCGTTCAATCAAATGCTCGAGAACCTGCCAAACTTGTGACATTGCTAGCAACATATGATTTGCTGGAGGACGACTGCAAGGTACTTAACGCATCTATGTTTCCACAAACCGAGTCGACAAGGCAAATGGCATTGTAATATTGGGCATACTTTAATAAGGGCTACTGGCTCCCTTTATTTGGCAACTGACGGTACGCAGTTTAAAGCGTGTTTGCAAGAACTTATTGCTAGCCACCCTCTTTACAACCACGTAACCTCTCCCACCAGATTTCGAACTTCCAAAAAAAGCCGTCTATACTGGATCTTGTGCTAACTAACGAAGAACTCATGGTTGGCGGGATAGTTACAAGCACACCACTGGGTCGTAGTGATCATGTCACTCTACTCTTTGATTATATTTGCTATGCCGAGTACCCGGAAAAGGAGGAGGATAAAGTGCACACTGTCACGCACTACAATGTGTTGTCCAAGCTTGTTAAGGATACATCTTGGACTTTCTTAATCGAATGCCCCCAGATCTGGCCTGGGATATGTTTACAAGGACTTTGAGCACACTGGTAGCGCAAGCATCGGAACAGAAGTCCTTCCAACCCAAAAACCAGAGTAAGTCATTTCTGAGGAGCAGAACACGTAAATATATGCCCCGGAGGGATTTGGCATGGCGAAATTACCAGGGTTGCCCGAATGCCGAAACCTGGACTACATACGTGACACATCGTAACTTCTGTGTGAAACTGATCCGCGAAGACAAGGTCACACATCAGCAGAAGTTAATGAAGCGATGCTGCACTAACCACAAACTCCTGTACAGGCACATTAACGACCTTCGAAAGGTAAAGCGAGGGGTTCCGGCGCTAGTCACGGCTGATGGATACACGCGGTCAGCAATGGAAGCAGCTGATCTCCTACGGCTTCATTACTCTCAAACGTTCCAACAAGTGTCGAGCCCAAACATTCACCTCATTTCTAATACTCCACCATCTGGTTTAGAAAACATCACCTTCACTACGGTGGCCGCGTTGAAGAAGTTGTTATCCTTGCGTATCCACAGTTCTCCCGGAGCTGATAACATCCGACCAAAGGCTCTACAGGCAGTAGCTAGTGATCTAGCAGAACCACTGGCTGTTTTCTATCAGCGATGTCTAGAGGAAAACCTTATTCCACCAGTATGGAAGCAAGGGGTCATCACTCCTATTCATAAAGGAGGTAGCCGCACTGATCCTGTAAACTACCGTCCAATAACACTACTTCCCGTACTATCCAAAGTGATGGAATCAATCGTCGCAGACGCGCTAATGCAATATTTGGAAAGCCATAATTTAATAGCCCCAGAGCAACATGGCTTTCGTCAAAAGCATTCGTGCAATACTAACCTATTAATTGCACGTAATAGCTGGACTGAAGCTGTTGATGATGAAGTTGGAGTCGATGTCATCTACCTGGACTTTTCAAAAGCATTTGATCGTTTAGACCATCGAGTCCTCCTTCAGAAGCTTCGGAACTACGGCATTGGCGATCCAATCCTGAGTTGAATTAGCAATTTTCTACAAGTACGACGGCTAGTGGTGAGAGTCCGAGAATCATTTTCTCATGCAATCGACGTGACGTGTGGAGTACCACAAAGCTCGGTTCTTGGACCTTGTCTATTCTTGGTGTACATTAACCATCTGGCGAGATCAATTACTTCGGATTTCTTATTTTTCGCGGATGATATCAGGATATGGCGAAGGATCAGAGGACCGGATGACCATGAACGGCTCCAGCACGATCTTAACACAGTGTCGAACTGGTCAGTTCAAAACGCTCTACCGTTCAACGTAGACAAATGTCGCGTAGTACAATTACGCCACAGACATAACTACACCTACATACTTGGGACAAACGAATTGCAGAATAACTCCCAGGAACGTGATCTTGGTGTGATCGTACAGAGCGACCTCAACTGTTCAAAACAGGCTGAGGTAGCTGCCAAAAGAGGCAACCAGCACGTCGGCATGCTGCGAAGGGCATTCGGGAGATTTGACCCATCAATCTTCCCAATGATGCTCAATTCCTACGTGCGCCCGCATGTTGAGTACGCAATCCAAGGTTGGCAACCTTGGTTGAAACGCGACCTAGAAGCGATAGAGGCACCACAACGGAGAGCAACAAAGAACGCGAAGGGCCTGCGGTATCACTCTTACCACCGAAGGCTGAAGTTGCTGGGAATTTTCAGCGGACGTTATCGAAGGCTGCGCGGCGATCTCATATTAGCGTATCAGATATTGAGTGACCCCAACCACGTATGCCGCCATTTGCTGAAACTTAGCCACAACACGCAGCTCAGGGGTAACTGCTTAAAGTTGAAGGAACAATATAGCCGTCTAGAGTGTCGACGGAATTACTTTTCCCTTCGGGTTTGCAAACCATGGAACGCACTCTCAGACTCAGTAGTATCCTCTCCTACCCTGGATGTTTTCAAAAAACGATTAGATGTTACTCTCAGCTCCCAACATTTTGTTACCTGAGCTCCTCTGTTGTGGATTACGCCAAGCATGTTTTCAACAGGACTAATGTATCAAATGGACCTAAGTGAGCGACCATATTTTATTTTCTCACTCCTTACCTCAACTATCACTGCGCCCCAGTGTCTTTCTGAATGTTTACGCGCGATATTTCTTTTTCATTTCACACTGATGTTAATTATCAAAGTATTCATCTCAGCAGACGTTCGATAGATGACCCAGACATATTTTAATTGCACCATATTCACCGCTACCATCCTACGGGACGTGTCAAGCACTTGCTTTTATCCCGTGATAAATCATTGTTCATTGTTCATTGTAAGCAAATGTGAACCCAATCTACTCCTCATGATAAGGGGGCTTTTTCGATAGGTGTATCCTGGTGTTGATGGTTAGGCTTTAGCTAGACAAGTTAGAGAAGTCTGATAAGTTGGATCCTTCATCATGTCCAAAGTTAGTACACCCAAAGGTCCCCTGTGGTTTCAAAAACTCGGAACCTGTGGTATTGCACAAATTCAACCAGAAACCCCGTCGATCACATTTAAATTAATGCTAAAATATCAAATTTAACATCTTGTCAAGAACTGTATTATCAAGAAAAGAACAATGACAGCCCTAAACTTTCGAACCACCGTAAGTTTAAACGTTGTTGACTTGAAATTTGGAAGTTTAAATCACATGTTTCTTCACCTGAGTATGTCTTTTCAAACTAATGCAGTGTTAGAACTAAAATCAAAGGTCCTGTTAAACACGAGTTAGTATTATAGAACATGACTATAGGACGGATATTCACCATGGCATTGCTGTGACCTTACTCAGCGCCTCAGTTTTATAGAGATGATCCCCATCGTTGAGTATAATGCTCATCGAGGTTGCTATACGCAGTTAGCAATGTGTTCAGACTTTCTACTATTTCCTGGAAACCAATATGCACTGTATTGCCAATGAAAGGACTGAGATCCTATCCTAAATATGCTGCAGTATATTTCCTAAAAGCAGACGTAACTGTTGGATGGTTTAGTAAACTAGTAACCGTTGCTTTAGGGGACCACAACAGTTTAGTCTTCATCTAAACGTTAAGCTAACCCATGTTGAACGTAGATTTTGGATGAGGCATGCTTTTTCAGCTACTATATATGAGCTGCATTTTAATGCTGAAGGACAACAAACTGTCTGGTCTAGCAAGCATTTCAATACGCTTGGTAGAAATTGAGAACTCACAACTTCAGAAGGATTTGAAAATAGTTAGTTGAAACATTTGGGCGGTAATGCTGAGCTGTGTATTTCAAGACTACATCATGCGCCATGAGCCGGTACTTATCCAAAATGGCGCTTGACGCAAACTGCAGCGATAAACTTGATAACCGAAGGAATTGGCAAGGTTTGTAGTATAGGTAAACTCCATATTGGTTCCTAATTTGGAGGTCTGATGTTTATGTCTAATTTGGTTCTTCCCACTAGCGTTCTTCCGATTGAACAAGTAGTACACTACATATCTGTTGGGTTTAAAGATGTTTACATGCATGGCAACTAAATTTTAGGTTGTTGCGCTCTGACCCACCCTGATAACATCGACATCACAGTCGATTCCATGACCTCCGTCTACTACGGGCACCATTAACACCGAAACGTTTGGCAAGATATTTTAAGTAATAATTCTACAATGACATGTATTAACAGGTAGCTTAATAAGTAGATGATAATGGCAGTTCCTTTTGCGTAGCAACTAAAAATAAGCTATAAAATACCTTTAGATTATCAAAAAGGATGTTTCAATCAATCAGGTATTGCAGTACGGGAATAGAGGCCAGGTAGCAAGAGTATTAAATCACAGGTTTACATATTTCCTATTGGATTGAAGCTTAAATATACGCAGTGTAACTAGCTACAATCAGCATTTTCGGTTCATCGTATGTGGTAGTTGATTATTTGCACATAAACACTGGTAAACGTCACTTGAAAGAAGCGGCTGTGTATGAGAGCATAGCTCCTAGAGTGTCCAACATCTACCTTCAACTGATGACATGCCCCATGTTAGTCCGAAATACCATGTATCGGAGATTTGGCGAACGAAATGGTTCAAACACGTACATATTTAATATCATTATGATTTATTCGATATTACTCACTTCGTGTGTTCTACCCCATACAGCATCAATGTTGCGGATTTAACGGTGGTGAGGACTTTAAAAATTCGAAGTTTTTCAAACGAAAAAACACAAATGCAACAATCGAGATGCGTAAGCATGTGTATATGGCGTTAATTGGTCGGTTTCCTACAGCTTTGCATATAAATTTATTTTTACCAATAATCTTTGACAGATATTATGCAGCAAGAGGACGTTCAGTATCTATAGTACATTTGTTTCCCTCAAACCAATTATCTTGATGAGTCAACATAGGATAAACTTTTGGTATTATGGAATAAACCTACTTGATTTATGGTTAGATTTGACTCCATGAAGAGATATGTACCTGGGTCCATTAAGGCGAATTCATTTTTGGTGGTCTTGCCCAAAGTTGCTATTAATTTTCCACTATTAACTACTGACGATCGTTTGCCTTGTGTTAGTGAAAAAGGGCACTTCATCAAGTTATGGTATGGTAAATTAAGCCCATTTCAGAAACGAATAATGAACTTCAGGTCCTCGTACCTACACATAAGTAGTCTAACATTACTTGTATTTTGCGTCTGCTCGACTGGTTCTACCTGTCTCCCTATCAGACTTGTACTATGATGCAAAGGGTTGCGAGCACCGACTCGATTAATCTCAGTAATTTTGGCCTAGGGGTCTACTACGAAAGAATATGTAGTGATTGGCAGTGTTATTGTCCACATCAACAAACGAGTGTATACAAATACTTCGAAAACTTCAGAAACGTTTCTATATGTTGGAAGTATTTTCTGTAAATAAAACAAGCATCCTTACAGGAAAGTATCCTACGGGTTGCTTTACAGGTCTAGGGTGGGAGTCAATTAAAGCTATTTTTTAATTGCAGCTTTCTTGATTTACCTTATTTAAGTATCATGTAATCGTGTCCATTTGTGTTTAAGTTAAGCTATCGCAGTTATGCAATCAATTTATCGTCCATTTTCTACTTTGTAGCCTTTAACTACCCGTCTGCGTGCTGCAAACCGGTTAATAATTCACAGGAGCTGGCAGCATGTAAGATTAATCCCACTACGGAGAACAGTAATATTGCCGTTGGGTGTTGGCAGGCATTTCGACAGCAACTAGCAGATAATTTGCGTGTCGTGATGTACACGTGGATTGCTATAATTGGAGTCCAGGTGAGCTGTGTAAATTGGAGTTGGTTGTGCAATACTTTGAATTTAATGGTATTGATGATTAGGAGCATGTGATATTTTCACTTTGATAGGCTCCTTAATTCGAAATGAGATACTTTTGTAGATAAAATTATTACAAAGAAACTGTAAACTGCTCTATCCTTAACAAGTTCTACTGGAGGCGATGGATATAGTATTGCTCAGTGGCCACTAGCTATATAGTGTGATGCATTACAGAGTAATGATGCTGACAGAACTTGATACCTTCTGTAGGTATGCATTGACACTTGAGTCGGTACTGCTGGATAAATACCTATCTTGTGGACGAAATGATATGAACAGTAAAAAATACTTGATAAGATGTAGATCTACTTTTCCAATCAGAATCTCGTCTCAACAGTATGAAGTTCTAGCCATGGTTTAAAAATTGTTTTACCTCTTTATACTATAATTGCCGAACCTGGAACATCCTCGGTTATTCAAATTACACACTCATACATCAGTTGTTTATTTGGCCTGTTTAACGTTCAAAAGGCTAGTGAAAGTGTATCCCGAATGGTCATTTGATGCCATTTACTCTTTCACTAACACCCCTGAATGTTTTAATGTCTAGATCGTATGCTTTTGCTAAGATGCAAAACTAATCCTTAGTGCATTGTGATCTGATTCATTAATGGTTTTTCGTAGTAGCCCTAAGCCATGTATTCGTGAATTATGGTACCAACTCTTTCCTTCGCAAGGCTAGTAAATTACATGCTAGTGAAGATGAACGGCTCTATATTTCAGTTTACCTTCAGTATTTTCTATATGCCACCGCTACAGATGGCCTGATTGCCTAAGCGGCTGTCGTCTGGAGTTCGTGGTTCCTCTTCCTGGTGGGTTAGGGGATACACGTAACTGACGAGTCCCAACATGACGAAACAGCTGTCCAGTACTTGCCCGGATATACAGTAGAATGCCTGACTTTTCCACTTCTAAGAATTGCCAGTAAAATCATTAATGTACCGCACGTTATGGAAGGAGTATTAATTTTGTTCCGCATATCACAACAAGAAACTGGTCACAAATAGTCGCAACCAAGTAGCTTAACCATAATTGCCAAAAATAACTCATAGAACGACAAGCACTGTCGTTTAAAAGACAGAACCGTCATTAGTTATTTGATAAAATTTAACCAAAGACCTAGTGGAGGTTTTCGGCGACATTGTCTCCCATGACTGCATTCCACCACACCACATAACGTGCTTTGGACTATTTAGGTGGATATGGCCTGAGTCGGGAGTAGAACTCGGCGCATCGTGCTTGATAGTTGTCACCTTGATTATACTAGCCTAATGAACTCTGTGGGTAGCGCTTGACATGGCGGTTAGATGTTAATTGTGGGGTTTTGGAGCACTCTCCGAGTGTCTTAGATTACGTCACGCAATCTCAAATGTGGCTCCAGATAACATTAAAGTCAGCCTCTGACATTTCGACCACTGTGAAGGTCAGAGAAGTGAAGAGTTTTGGTGATACTCTCTTCCATTTCTGCACTCCACAACACGTTGAGTCCTTGTTTGCACTCACCAGGTGGTGATAGCCTAATCTGAGAGTGGAACTCGACACATTGTGGTTAGCGACTATCGCCTTGACCACTAGACCATTGAGTTCCCCCAGCAATGTTTGACAATCATAGCGTACCTTTTAACCGCTGGAAAGAAGAGAAGATTACATTTCCAGTCCGCAGAGTGTTGTAATAGTTTGTGTAACAACTTCCATTTTAAACAATGGATCTAGTTGCGGATTGTTTGCGCGCTCTGTAAACTAACCGACAGAATTCCTTTCGTACGACCCGTGAAACTCAGTTCTTTAAGTGTTTTCTACATGCAGGCTGCATCGAGACATTAGAAGGAGTGCGGTTTTCATGCGGGTCTACACGACTCCGAAAGAGAAAGAGAAAATAAAAGAAAATCGGACGCTTCTCAGAGGCCCTTTTATTGGCCCAGTGAAGATCGAGTACAGCGTATCCTAGACTCACTTGTGTGTACACCGAGATTGGCTGAGTAGGATGTAACAAGAAAACTAAAAACTGGATAGAAAATTGACACAATGCGAGTATACACGGCTTTTCAGAAGTTGAATGATTCTAACTGCGGAGGCTGCGAAGGAAAAGTGGTTTCTTGTGAATGCGGAGGCTGTTTGAATCATGTACACTGGCATGAATGTGAGTGTATGGACATTACGTGACTTCGTTTGCACGATCTGTTGAGGAATTAAGTCCCTCAAAACACTGAGAGGGGCCATTGTGACTACAACTGGCGTTTTATGCTCTGCCAGCATCTTCCCGAGTTAATCCAGCCTAGACAGATGCTACACTAAAATGAAAAATAAAGTGATAGGCGCCTGACTCGGCGAGCAGCAGCAAGCATTTCATCTGAACTGTGGGAGTTCATATGCACTGACTACCCAATCTATATGCTGGCCAGGAAAAGACACCTATAGTTAAATACACGGAGCAGTATATCATGGATGGATTTTCCGAGAATTTTGCTAACTAATCTATCCGTGATCAGAAATTAGTTATTCGTAAACATATTAGATATGCTGGCGGTGTTGACCGCGGTCCTTAAAGTTGTATCCCATATGAATTTAGACAAAAGCTAGGCGCCATTAGTTTATCAGTGAAAGTAACTTTCTCTCAAGCTCACAGATTGGGTTATAACTCGGACACTAGCTGGTAGCAGTGGCAGCTGCGTGTTGTACAACATACACGCTATTGTAGAAGAACAAGCCAGTTGGATTTAACACATATCAATCAAACAGATAAAGGGATGGAGAGCGGACAACAGCGTAATGCTTAACTCAACGTAAAATACTAAGTACTAAAGAGATTTGTTCAGTTATATCATGGAAAGATTGAAACGCAGAAAATACAAACAAATTCAGCGGCACAACTTTTGATGACAGTTTGATTATAAACCACCAAATGTGTCAATTTGGATTGCTAGGGAGCAAAGACAGGCAGATGGCAAGAAAATTCATTCAAGCTATTCACAGTTATATGTGTGCATTGGGTTCCAATTAAACTAGATGAAGCTTGCTAGGTTTGTTACATTTTGCACGAAGATCGCTTCAATATGTGGTCAGTGCCAGTCGGATTAGCGGCCTCCACCATGAACTAGCTCAGTCATCTTTGCTGCACTAAGCATGGCAAGCAGATTGGACCATATTTGTTAAAAATTGTTGCTTTGCATTTCGAATACTTGATTCAATTAAGCTTCGCTGACTATCTGTTTGCTTGTCAAGGTTGCGCCACAGGTTCAAGTCACTAACCTGGCAGAAAAATGCGCAGTACTTTAAAGTTTTGAAGATACCTAACTTCCATTTGGCGAATATTGGTTGCTAGCGTCTCTCCGGTAACTTTAGATTTTACATACTATGTAGCTACGTTGATGGGGGTGCAGTTTAACTTGGTGATGACAAAACCTTAGAGTTCTACCTCACCTAGCCGTATTGAGGATAGGCATTGCAAGCAGCAACCACGGTGCTGATAAAATAACACTCGTCTTCTCCTATGATTGAAATTTGCATGCGGTTGTGTGATATACTTTTACGGTTCAGGCAACTTAGTGCGAGCTTAAGTTTCTACCTTGACTATTTAGGGAAAGTTGAATTCTGCACGGTCATTGGACTTAATGAGTTTTGTATGAGAAATTTGTAAGGAAATGATTGTGCCCTGTATTCTGATCATAAATTTGCTTATTGTCTTGAAAATCTGTTTTGGACATACGTTTACATCGAGTATAATCAACATACGTGTATCAACGTATGTAATGAGTACTCCCTGTAACTGATCGCATACAGTCGTCCTCCATTTTCTCTTATGTATTCCACCGTGTAACAAGCGATGTGCATGGAGTTCGTCTGTCCGTGCGGGTTGATTGGCATGTCGCGTATATTAAATACTGGTTACTGAGAATAGATAGCGAGGAGATAAAAAATCTGTGTTGCCCCATCGTAGGTGGATAAGGCACACGCGCGGAATCACTTCGCTGATTCCTGTGCAGTGGCAATACATTGCAGCTGCGCTACATCTTATCCGCGTACGATACGCTCCATAGACCTGTAGTCCACAAAGTGGGCATCAAGGCATCTTTTAACTTCCGTCACCGATTGCGCCTTGACTATTGTTTCAGGCAACTTGTTCCAATATTTCACTACTAGAAGTTCGAAGCACAGATGATGAACTTTAAATCTGGTACACGTAGTTTGTACTGCTGTCCACGTGTGTAGCTTTGTGAGTGAACGTGCAGCAGCGATCTCAACATAAGGGAGTGGCCCAGGTGCAATAACTGGTGCGTCATAATATTACCAACTCGAAGCCGACGAAATGGCGGCGTATAAGGCCCTAGTCTCCTACATCGGTTATCGTACCACATACCCCGTAAACTGGAGATGATCCGGGTAGCTACATGCTAGACCTGTTCCAGTCTCTGCTCCTCAGTTATTGTGATCGGGAACTAAACGGGTGAGCCGTACTCAAGCACCGGTCTTAACATGGAAGAGAACAGACGGGTGGCAATCCCTTCAGAGCTAGTGTAGAAGCTGCGTATAAGTGACCAAAGCAGACGTAGTCCGGTTGCGCACAGTCTGTTTGTGTTGCCGACAGACATCAAACCATAGTGTGAGAGTACACCTAGAGCCTTAAGGGAACTGAGGGGATGCAGCGGTTGGCCGGCCATTGTGTACGCACACCCATTACCACGGCTCCCCGGGCGCAAAAAGGAGGAGTTAGCCGGGTTCACAAGTAGGTCAAATTCTGCAGACCACTGGGATAGGCGATCGAGGTTTAAAGAATCAAACAATCGCACTCACGAAAAGAACAAGAAGAACTTTCAAAAGGATATGGATCGACTAACGAAATTCAGCTTATGGCGTTTAGCAGTATAACATTAATCAATATCGAATGCTACTTTCAATGCGTAGCATCCACACTGTCATGCGGATGATAAAGGGAGCAACCTATTTAGAATGGAATGCACTATACAATCATATCCCATTTTCACACCCATGGTAGTGACCTACTGGGTCCAGTGAATGCGCAAGCTACCTTGAGAACTGTTAGTTGCATAAAACAAGCCTACTCAGTTAGAACAGATTGCCGTAATTAATAAAGGGCCTCCGTGAGTATACTTGTCATGTCTCTCACTGAATTTAAAGGTAGTGCTAACACAATGATACCATTGTACTGAAAGAATAATAACGCTTGCAGTACAGGCGCCACTTTTGCAACCAAAAGAAGTTTTAACTTGTTACCTGCATCTAAAAGCATCATCATCCCCATTGACAGCGTTATTGGTACAGGTGTAGTTTCTTTTGAATGCAGCAGCTTCAATTTTGCCCTACCTGAGGGTTGAGCAACAGCAACTAATAATGTAAGAAGCATCGCTCATTAAACAACCAGTCCTGACCTCAGTCAAGAGGCGAGATTCGTGAAGTCTATAGAGTTTAATAGCATTTAAGAGGCGGATACGATGCAGTAATGTAACCACAACCCATTGTATTTTCATTGGATTTCTTGCGTTAGCTGACTTTTGACAATATTACAAAAGCTATACTTTATACTTTCGTTCGGAGGTTTTACAGGGTGTGGACGCCTGTATACATGTTGGAGATTTCTTGGATGTCTGGAGCCAGTCCATATTGTTCGCCGCTTCCACAGGTTCCTCGAAATGTTGATTTAAGGCACAAGACGTCAAACATACTTGCACTTGATAGTGGAACGTTTTTGCTATTATATTGCAGTAAAACAGTTCTCCACCTTTGGCTTTAGTTTTGTGACTGAACTACGGTACATTGCCAATGAGAAGGTGCTAGTCCAATTATACGTGTCGGAAAACCGTATATATGCAGACAACAACCCTACGTTTGCTCTCTGTTTTCTGTGCATGTCTGTGACTCTCAACAACGGTTTTCGAATTACATGTTGCCGGGCACCCCGATGCACTCCTCGATAAAGAGACACAACAAGCTGCCTCAGGCGTCATGTGCGGACGGTTAGTTGCCCAAAGTTGGGCCTGTTCACTTAGTAGTTGTTTAATTCTGTTCCTAATCTTAATCTAGCAGTAATTAAAGAAATGGATAAGAACAACACCGGAACTGGGTGAATCATGCGTCACTAATTTACTATCTTCAATCACTTCTTCCTTTAGGTCATCAGCCTTTTCGCCTGTATACTAGCCCTGGTCATTGACATTCGAGGAGAAGCTTATATGTATACATTCGGAAACGAGGCATGGGCCGATGTCGTCTCATTGTGAATGGTGAAGACGTGAAAATTGGACCTCGTTTATCCCGTGTTTGATCCGAATAAACTTTGGAGCAATTCACTTGCGGAAAAATTTTTGCTGTCTCACCTATTGCTAGATTTTTTTGGTATTTCGTTCATGCATTAATAGATGCTCTAGCGTGCAGATTAAAGTGTTTGCCGCATATATGAACATTTATCATAATATTACTAAGCAGTGATTGTGGCTATTACTGCGATTACATTTCTGATTCCACGTATTTCATGAACAGGTGGACATGATTTGTTAGAAAGCCTCACTACCTCATCGCTGAACACACACACACAACTGATGTAGGACAAATATTTATTGGATGTTAAGTTTTTTAAACACTGTTCGCATTGGCGGATGAGTGGGCTCGTATTGAGAGTTACGTCAGTTCAAAATTATCATCAGTCATGCAAACGTTAGCAATTGCCTGCTTACATCCCTACAGTCCGCAGATGATTTTGTATTTCACACAATCAATTATCTTTGCGAATTTCAAAAGCACAGGAACATTCAACCTTGTTACGGCAACCGCTACGAAGACCGACCGTTAAGTCTAGTCACCAATCATCGCAGATAGCACATGGCGAATTCAGGTACAAAAGCAGCTTAGAGAAGAGTGTAAAAAGGCTGCCAAAAGCTATGCAAACATCCATAAGTGATTGCTAAACTGCCTACGTTTTTAAAGCTATGCAAAAGTCCCCTGGATTGCGCCAATCACCTGGCCATCTTGGGTGACCTTGACAGCGCCTTTATTGGTTCCTAGTAGAGGGCTAGGCGCCCCGTAGCAGCCCACAGCTGGGGCCTTTCCCATCATGATGAAAGTACACCGAGTTAATGGGAGAATCACACGTGCTATATGCATGCAAACATACCAACCTAAGTTGTCCAATACATTAGAAGCAACTACGTTTACTGAACCCAGGGAAATACATTTCAATACATAACAGCCCTGGTCTTGAGGACCGGAACCTTGCCAGTTGCCGTACCAGGACAATTATCGCACTAACAACGACCGTCATATATATAAAGGAAAATACTTACGCAAGTGTTGTACACAAGTGTCAATACTATGCACAAATGTGTGCAGTAATGCGTATTGAGACGTCATCATCCGTCATAAATTGTCCGTAGGCACTTTCCTTCATCTGCGTAGTCAATCAACATTACTCATAAGTTGTACAGAGCTAGCCCTGATTGCCTTCTCTCCAGCCCATTCACATTGTTGCGTGACAAGTGGGAACGCACATTTCGCAAGTGTTGGCAAATGCGGTCTGCGAACTGTGCTTGGTTAACACCGTTAGCTTGGAAGCGTTGAAACACGTCACCTGGCAAATCATTACGCTTGAACACAGATGAAGCTTTACATTGCAAAACATTGTAAGTGCTTGATTGTATATGGGCACACTTATGTTGAGCGTCAAAATTATTAAGCGACATGGATGCGAAATGCGTCATCACACGATCCATCATTCTACGAGTGGTGTCCACTAAGGGGCAGGCTGCGACGATTTCCAACGCGGATATTTGTGGAAATGTTCATATAAATAGCAAAAAGCGTACCACATTTTGTTTAGTGTTAGCGTCTCGTATGGAGTTATTGAAATGCATGAAGTCTTCTGCCGGTGTTCAGGGTACCGGCATGCTTGGCGTTAAAGTAGCAGTCACATTGTGCGCTGCGTCTGTTAAGGAATACAGGTTGTTTCAAGACGTTTATTCGCGCTCCATTCTTCTAAGGGCATCAAGAATAAGTTTACACACAGACTAATTCTTGTGGCCAAAATAACTGAGAGAACAGACATTTCGATTTTAAACTAGATAAATCGAGACTAATGAGTCTCCGAAACACAGTCGGAAACTTGGTCAATGTGCAAACCGTGCATTAATACATGTTTTTTCCTCGTCAAGTTTACGCTGATCAGTGGCAGTCGCCTCGGAGAGTACCGGACTCTCTATTACATTGGTGTCACTCTCCTTAATGTTGTGCGGCTCAACTGTGTGGGTATGTCCTGTATTCTTGGTTGAAGCAGATGCTACTGGGGAACGGGACTTCCCGACTGAGGCATTATTACCGTTTAACGTCAAGGCTATATATTTTGACATAGTAAAAGGTTTATTTATGCGTACGTACTCAGAAACGGGGAAATCGAACGTTAATGGGCGGAGTAACATGTACTAGATAAACCGCGACCCTACAAGCAGTTATAAGCAGAGATGACTCATGAATAGAATACAAGATCCGCAGACCGCTGGGAAGTAAGTCCAGTAACAGTTGGAACGATTCCATTGTTGAGGCTATGTGAGCGTACCATAACGAAGGCTTAGATACACTGAGCTAATGTTATTGTCAAATAAGCGGAAAACGTTTATAGATAAGTGGAGTAAAATACATAAACTGTATGACTATTGATAATCCGTCATTATGCGAACTATCGTAGGGTAGCAAATGCGAGGTTGGTGAAAAATGTCAAAAGAAATGAAGGACTTATAAATTGTCAGTAGCATGGTCAGATTTGATTTATAATTGATTACACAAATTTAGTTTCGTGCAGTTTTACACGCCCTGGCTGAATACTGCAAACGATCAATACTAGAAGTCGACAGCTGATTATGTCAGTGAGGCTGCCACGTGCTACCAAGACAGAGTACCCAGTAACTCAAAACATTAGCATGGTTTACGCTTCAAACACTGGATGGCAAATTGCAAGAAAACACCATACCTTCACATTGTTCCGTTTACTGTTTAACGTCTCGAGGAGTTTTGGCACTTGGAACAGTCGAGTTAATGTCGGGCGACAAAGCTTGCTATCAATGTTGCACCACTTTTAGCTAGGTTCTGTGGAATGTATTTCGAATTCCGAGTAGACAACCTCTTGTTTGTCTAGCTGTTGAAATGTTCCTTGCCACTGCGACTTTCTACTTGAATTTACTCAACAAGTAGAGATAGTGGTGTTAACCTAACCCGGTTAAATTCCTACGTCTTTGAGCCCTGGGAACAATATTCACAAGGGTCAATGACACTAGGTAGGCGCATTCGCATCAGCCATTGTGAAAATTTATTCTAATACATAGTTTCAATGTGGAGCGCGGTTAAATTTGAAATGAATTTCGGAAAGGGTGGTTACGTGGAAATGATGAATACATCAGAACACGAAATCGATTGCGTATTCTGGTGTTGCTAGCAGAAAGCACCTGATATTCACCTGTTTCAGCTAGGATCGTAGTGAACGAAATTAATGAAGTTAATTTCGAAGCGAATTGCAGCCTAGTTCTGGATGGCACGTCGTAATCCATTCATACAGCGGTTGTTTCTAGTGAGCTTGCAATAAGTTGCGGTAAATTCGAACACTGGAACGTCGTCAGATACAGTTAAATCTCACGTGTTTTACCAGTCCACTTACGATGGCACGTTGCGATCTATTTGAACAACCTTGTATACGTTACGAGGACTTTTGCACAGAACATTCGAAGCGCATTCAAGGTCACCAGCAAAAAGCATATTCCGACCTTGTTTCGATTTGCCTGACTCCCACCATCCGGGGACTCAATTTAAATATCTGCAAGCATTTCGAACCATCTTAGTACCCTCAGGAACTACATTGGGTTATTGTATGCAATGGATAGTGCTTTTTGGTGGTGGCTGTTAACTTTGCCAAGTTAGTTCATGAGAAAAGGTAGGATAATGTATTATATGACTACTGTGGTCGGTCAGCGGGGGTCATGGTAACGCATTAAAAGGTAAGAGATCGATGACAGTTGTTTCCAATGTCTTTCTGGCACCCGTTGGTTCCTTCGTTACTTTTTTTAGGTCAGTCTCTTATGTGGTTGTGATATGAGCATACAGTCTCCTAATAAGGGGGCACTAATCTGTGTGTCGCAGCTCTAGGGGTTCTACTCCGATTCGCCGCAATATTCGGAAGAGCTTGGGACGTCAGACCGGAAGAAATTACCGTAAATACATATGCAATGAGCAAAATAAGCCCTAGCAACCAAGTAACCACGAAAACCAGTATTAATGCGGCCACAACTGATGTCAGTGATCGTAGCCCTGTCGCACGACTACTGATAACGTAGGCCATGGCGTTCAAGAGAAAATAACTGGGTCAATCAAATTAATATTATCTTATTTATATCTACATTGTCTGGCGAAGTAGAGACGTGAACGAAACAGCCGAATAACCAAAACGTAAGCAAGCGCGGTTTGATCTGTTACCATGCATGCTCGCAATTGTAGCATACTTTACTCATCCTCCTCCTCCTCATCATCATCATTATCATCATCAGCAGCAGCAGCAATACACGTTAGCTGAGGGTGAGAAACACACCTCAGCTAACGTGCCGTAATACAAAAGATAAGCCTAAACAAATTACACTACAAAATGATTACCAACAAGTAATATGCGGTTAATTATTATATTATGCATTTGGTATGAGATCGGGTTTGAAGGGGGAATATAAAGGGGAGGGGGTGGACAGAGAAACTCGCAGTACAAACGCCATTGGAGCCGGAGCTTCGCCAAATCTGCAAGCATGTCCAAGCAAACGTGTACATCGTTCTTAGGACCCCAGCCAAGCAGTTGGAATGCACTAACCTACGCCACTTTCGAAGTGAGGGTCTTCATTTCTCGCAACCAAGTCATTGCTTGGCCTCCCCTCCTCCTCTTCCAACCGCACCCCCGGGGCGAAAACAATGCTCATCGCGGCAGTCGGTGTGCTGACATGCGCAACCACGTGGCCAAGCCATCGAGCGGTTCACTCGCTCTTCCTGAACCAAATACGCGACGCCGAACACGCTCACTGCTGAAGCCGTGCTCCTACCATACATAAACATAGCTACAAAGGCTACGATGATCAAACGTGATGAGCACTTTTATGTCTATAGACCTGATAGACCAGGTTCCACAACCGTATAGGAGGGTTGAACGACGCCTGCATTATAAACTCTGGCCTTCAGGGCGAGAGGGATGTTGCGTCTACGTCACAGGTGGCGGAGATTGGCAAAAGCACCTCGATCTTTCGCTATGCGGTTCGTAAACTCCGCTTCGATCTAACGGGCGCTAATATAGCTGCTCAGGTACTTGAATTCCTGAACGACTTCTAACTGATCACCACCAAGCGTCAGCGCCGCAGTGGGTCCCTGCCAATCTTAGAGAATGAGTT